TGCTCATTTGCCCTTGAAATTCCTTGCTTGGTGTCATTTGACAGACCAGAAGCCTAGTCATGGATGTTGGTTCCTTTTTTAGGAGTGATTTATATAAAACTTCTTTAAAAATGGTGAAATCTTAGTCTTTGAGTACTATTAATGAAGTTGTTTTCATTCGTGCATGGGAGGCGGGTAACACTAGCAGGGTGGCTTGCTGCTGTAATAGGAATCAACTGTGATATTCGGTGCTCCTGGGAATGCCATCCCAGCTCACCGTGAATGATTCTGAATCTGCATCCCCTTGATCCCAAAGAGGTCTTGCCTAAACACCCAGAAGAGTAGTCACTAATCAGTAGCCACAAGATAGTGTCACTAGACTAGTAATATGATGCCCTGGAGACAAGTTCAAATCCTGCCTAGAAGATGGGAAATTTAAATTTAATTAAATGTATCTAGCATTGATAATGATAGTCAAGAAACTAGTGGACCCTCCTAACACCCCATCTAGTTTATTAGTGCCCTTCGGGGAGGAAAATCTTCCATCCTTACCTGGTCTGGCCTCCAGACTCCCATTTAATGTGGTTGGCTCTGAAATGGCCCAGCAAGCCAGTCAGTTGTACAAAATCACTGCAGAAAAATTGAGAGAGAATAAAGCCAGGTGGACCAGCTGGAAATGGCAATGGCAGAAACAGCCTGCAAAGCCCTCGATACTAACATCTGGGGGCCAGTGCTATAATTAGGAAAGTTTGTTGCATGGACTGGTCAAGCAACAACCTGACATTATCTGCAAGTATGAGTATGTCTGAGACACCACTATTGCCATCCCTGGACATGTCCTGTCCCACCAGCAGGACTGATCCAGCAGAGGGGACAGTGCAGTGGTATAGAGTTGGGAGGGAGTTGCTCTGACTCCAGACCATGTGAAGTCTCATGGCTTCAGGTTAAACATGGGCAAGGCAACCCAAAACCTCCTGCTGATTACCACCTACTGCCATCCCTTGGCTGATGAATCGTACTCTTCCATGTTGAACAACATTTGGAGGAAGCACAGGGTGGCAAGAGTGCAAAATGTTCTCTGGGTGTGGAATTTAAATGTCCACTACCAAGAGTGGCTTGGCAGCAATTGACCAACCTAGCCATGTCCTAAAAGACATGGCTGCTAGACTGGTGCTCTCCTATAAGAGGAGAAAAACATGCTGGACCTCCTCCTCACCAATCTGCTGGCTGCAGATGCATCTATCTGTGACAGTATCAGTAACAGACTGCTGTGTGGTCCTTGTGGAAATGAAGACCAGTCTGCATGATGAGGATACCCTCCATCGTGTCTGGCACCATCAGATGGAGTTTAATTTAGATCAATGAGGTGCTGCATTTTGGAAAGGCAAATCAGGGCAGGACTTATACACTTTAATGGTAAGGTCCTGGGGAGTGTTGCTGAGTAGAGAGACCTTGGGGAGCAGGTTCATAGTTCCTTGAAAGTGGAGTTGCAGGTAGCTAGGCCAGTGAAGGTGATGTTTGGTATGCTTGCCTTTATTGGTCAGTGCATTGAGTATAGGAGTTGGGACGTCATGTTGCAGCTGTACAGGACATTGGTTAGACCACTTTTGGAATACTGCATGCAATTCTGGTCTCCTGCTATAGGAAGGATGTTGTGACCCTTGAAAGGGTTCAGAAAAGATTTACTTTTCTGGAGAGGATGAATAGACTGGGACTATTTTCCCTGGAGCGTCAGAGACTGAAAGGTGACTGTTATAGAAGTTAATAAAATCATGAGGGGCATGGATAGGGTAAATAGACAAGGCCATTTTCCTCAGGGTGGGGGAGCCTAAAACTAAAGGGCTTGTGTTTAAGGTAAGAGGGGAAAAGGTATAAAAGGGACCTAAGGGGCAACTTTTTCAGAGGGTGGTGTGTATGGAATGAGCTGCCAGAGGAAGTGGTGGAGGCTGGTACAATTACAACATTTAAAAGCCATCTGGATGGGTATATGAATAGGAAAGGCTTAGAGGGATATGGACCAAATACTGGCAAATGGGACTAGATTTATTTAGGATACCTGGTTGGCATGGACAAGTTGAACTGAAGGGTCTATCTCCATGCTGTATACACACACACCTTCTGTTTTTAAAAGAAGTTTTCCCTTGGGTCCCTTTTTTTTTAAAAAATCTTTCGCCCCTCTAGTTTTGGACTCCTCCACCCTGGGGGAAAAGACCTTGGCTATTTACCCTACCCATGCTGCTCATGATTTTATTGCCATCTATAAGGTCACCCCTCAGCCTCCAATGCTCCAGGGAAAATAGCCACAACCTACTCAGCCTTGCCCTATATCGCAAACCCTCCAACCCCAGCAACATCCTTGTAATCTCTTCCAAACCCTTTCAAGTTTCACAACTTGCTTCCTATAGCAGGACAATGCTGTATCAAATGCCCAGCCAATTACTACCCCATCAGTCTACTCTCAGTCATTAGCGATGTGATGGAAGGGGTTGTTGGCAATGCTATCAAGTGGTACCTGCTCACAGTTTGGGTTCTGCCAAAGCCACTCAGCTGCTGACCTAATTACAGTCTTGGTTCAAACATGGACAAATAGCTAAAGTGTCAGTGATAGCCCTTGACATCAAGGCTGCATTGAGTGAGTGTGGCATCAAGGAGCCCTAGTAAAAAATGGAATCGGTGGGAATCTCGGGCAAGGCCCTGCATACCTAGTCATACCAAGTCATACCTAGCATAAAGAATGCTTCCAGCTCCAGGACATCACTGCAGGAGTTCCTCAGGACAGTATTCTGGGCCCAACAGTCTTCAGCTGCTTCCTCAATGAGCTTCTCACCATCATAAAGTCAGAGTGGGGATGTTCACCAATGACTGAAAATAAGATCAGAAGACTTAGGAGCCCTAGGTGGGCCACTTTGGTCTTTTGTCCATTTCAATGTCTGTCTTAACTTCCTTGTTTGTCAAAAATCTGTCTAATTCGGACTTGATTGAATTCAGTAATCCAACCTCTACTGTGTTCTGGGGAAGAGAATTCCATTGATCCATGACCATCTGAGCAAAAAATAGCATTTTTGTTTGAAAAGTGAGATCTCATGTTCTTAAATTGTGTCCCCATTCTTTCCTACAAGGGGGAACATCCTTTCTCAGAATCCACTTTGCCAAATTCCCTTAAGACTATATATTTCAATAAGATCATCCCTCATTCTTCTAAATTCCAATGGATACGGTCCCCAATCTATTCAATCTTTCCTCATAGAGCAAGTCCTTCATCCCAGGAATGAATTGAGTAAATCTTTTCCAATTAGTTTTGAGCACATTTTTATCCCTCAAATAAACTTCTCAAAACTGTACTCCAGGTGTGGTCTGGACAGTTGCAGTAAAGCTTCCCTACTTTTATATTCTGTTCCCCTTCCAGTAAACACTAACATTTCACTTGCCTTCCTCATTATTTGCTCTACCTGCAAACCAGCTTTTTGTGATTGATTTATGTCCCTATAACCTGAGTTCTACAATCCCTCTCTCTCTATTTAAATATACCATACTGCTTTTCATAGATCATAGAATCCCTACAGTGTGGAAACAGGCCCTTCGGCCTAACAAGTCCACACCAAACCTCAAAGCATCCCACCCAGACCCATCCTGCTATAACCCACCTAACCTACGCATCCCTGAACACTATGGACAATTTAGCATGGCCAATCCATCCTAGCCTGCACGTCTTGGACTGTGGGAGGAAACCAGAACACCCGGAGGAAACCAACTCGGACACGGAGAATGTGCAAACTCCACACAGTCACCCGAGGGTGGAATTGAACCCAGGTCCCTGGCGCTGTGAGGCAGTAGTGCTAACCACTGAGCCACCGTGCTGCCTGCTTCCTTCCTGCTAAAGTGGACAAATTTACATTTTCCCCCATGTTCTGCCTGTCAGATTTTTATTTTGTCCACTCAATCAACCGATCGATATCGCCTGGCACACTTTCTGCTTCTACTTTTGCTTGACCAACATTCTTTATTTCTTACCAACATATGACGCTGTTCGGCACCACTCACAACTCCTCTGATACTGAAACAGTCCATATCCATCTACAACAAAATCTGGGTGATATCCAGGCTTGGTTGATTAAATAGCAAGTATGATTCACACCACACAAGTGTCAGACAATGAACATTTACTGTTAGATATAGACAATGGCATTAAAATTGTTGACTTCCCCCACTGTCAACATCCTGGGGATCACCACTGACTGACTGGAAACTGAACTGGACCAGCCATGTAAATATTGTGGCAGCAAGAGCTGATTGTGACACCAGTAACTCGCTTCCTGTCTCCGCAAAGCCAGTCCACCATCTAACAGGCACAGGTGAGGAGAATAATGGAATACTCTCCACTTGCCCAGAGGAGTGCGGCTCCAAGGATTCAACACGATTCAGGTTAAATCAGTACACTTGATTTGCAACTCTCCTTCAAAATCCACTCCCTCTTCCACTGACACACTGCTGCTACTGTGCATCATCTACAAGAAAGTCAAAGAATCTTTGGATAGTACTTTCCAAACCCACAAAAGTACAATCTAGAGGACAAGGGCGTATGATACATGGGAATACAACCACTGACCAGTTCCCCTCCAAGCCACTCAACCATCCTGACTTGGAAATATATTGCTGCTCCTTAAGTATTGCTGGGTTAAAATCCTGGAATTCCCTCCTTAACAGTGCTGTGGATGTAGCTGTATCAGTTTAAAAAAGCGGCACCACCTTCTCAAGAGCAACTAGGGAGTAACAATAAATGCTTGCCCAGTCAGTGATGCTCACATCCTATGAACAAATGATGAAAACCACCTAATTGTTCATAGTCATACAGCATAGAAACAGGCCCTTCGGCCCCATTCAAGCTACCCTAATCCTGTTTACCTGCACTTGTCCATAGCTGACTATGCCCTAGCATTTTAAGTGCTTAAATGTTGAGTACCTGCCTCCACCACCCCCCAAGGCAGAGTGTTCCATATTTCAACCATCCTCTAGGTGATTTTTTAAAAAAAAATTCCTCTGGTTCCTCTAAACCACTTTCTCTTTACCTTAAACGTATGCCCTCTGGTTTTAGACATGTCTACCATGGGGAGAAGATTCTCATGATCTACCTGGGTCTGTGCCTCAATCAGATTCCCCCTCTGCCCTCTCCGCTTCAAGGAAAACAAACCTAGCCTATCTGGTCTCTCGTCACAACTAAGACTGTTCATCCCAGGCAACATCCTGAAGAAGCTTCTCTGCAACCCCTCCAGTGCAATCATGTCCTTCTGATACTGTAGTGATCAGAACTGCACACAGTATTCCATCTATGGTCTAACTAAAGTTGTAACAAGACTTTCTTGTTCCTATAATCTATGCACCAGCTAATGAAGGCAAGTATCCCGTATGCTGCCTTCACCACCCTGGCCACCTGTGCTGACACCTTGAGGGATCTATGGACTTGTATGCCAAAGTCTTTGTTCCTCAGTACTCCCTAGGGACCTACCAGTCATTGTGTATATCCTTCCATTATTAACCTTCCAAAATGCATCACCCCTCACTTATTGGGATTAAATTCCACCAGCCATTGTTCTGCCCAATTTACCAACTGATCAATATCTGACTCTAACCTGAGACCATCCTTCTCACTATCAACAATGCCACCAATTTTTGTCATCAGTAAACTTACTAATTATACTTATCACACAATATATTAACAACTTGGATGTAAATAACCAGTAACAAGGGTCCCAGGACTGATCCTTGTGGCACAGGTTTCCATCACGAAAACAACCCTCACCATCACCCTTTGCCTCCTATTTGCAAGCTAATTTTGGATCCAGTTTGCCAACTTGCCTTGGATCCCATGAGCTCTTACCTACTGATCAGCCTTCCATGTGAACCACATCAACTGCATGACTGTCATCTATATATGTACAGTCACCTTTTTATAAAGACCCTATTAAATTAGTCAGCCAGGATCACCTTTTAACAAATCCATGCCTTCCTGCTCCTCTGCTGCTTGGCCTGCTGTGTTCATCCAGCTCTGCACCTTTGCTATCTCATTCTCCAGCATCTGCAGTTCCTGCTATCTCTGAAATAATATTATTCTTAACATGTTCTAAAACTTCACTGTCCCAACTGAAATTCCCTGGCTACAATGTCTTTCCCCTTTGATTTTAAGTGAGAAATATTCATTTAACACTATCCTTCAGGCCCATGCACAGATTGCCCTTTGGTACCTAATAGGCCCCACTATTTCCTGGTAATCCTCTTGCTCTTAATATACATAAAATTACTTGGTTTTCCTTAATCCTGTCGGCCAGAAGTCGGCCACTCCTTTCTCAGTGTCCAGTAAACCAGTCAGTTAAAATACAATACAATTCCAAGCAAAGCTTTTAAAAAGAATTCTTACAGTTAGGGCCACTTATACGTTCTACCTGATGCCCTTTGCTCTCAATCCTACAGATATGCAACATTTTGAGTTTCCTTTGTAGAACATTCCTTTTGTTGGAGCTTAATAGTTTGTTCTCTTATTCGTCTTTCTTAGGTCACCGAGTAAAGGGACATTGTACACAGAGGAGTGGCACGGAGTGCTATCCGTGTACTGACAAAACCTATCAAGATGGTTTCAATGGAGATGATGATTGTAAGTCATGCAGGCCTTGTGGAGAAGGTGAGTGAATGAAAATGGGGAAACACTTTTGAAGTGTTCAGCATAATTCTCTATATGAATCTATTTCTGGTCCAATAAAACAGGAGAAAGTGCTGAATCTGATTCCCGGCAATGAGGTAGTTCAAGTAGGGGAACACTTAAGAGACAAATATCATGGTATCATAGTTCTTAGCTTGATTATGGAAAAGGAGAAGGAATAATCAAGAGTAAAGCTAGGTAATTGGAGAAGGGCCAATTTCAATGGATTGAGAACAGATCTAATTAGATACATCCAAGGATATTGAGGGAAGTAATGAGGGTATCACAGTTTAACTGGGAGGATTGCACGAATAATCATGGCCTGTTTTTCAACAAGCTATCACTAAATGTGTAAAATCCTAATTAGACCATTGCATTGACCAGTTTTCCTGACTACCACTCAGAAGAAATTCATTCCAGATTTCATCAGTAATAGAAAATAACTATTTATTGTAACACTTTAACAAAAAGAGGATTTCTAATCTACAGACTCAGGGTGGTGTGAGAGGACTAGAGAATTAACAAATGTAACACTCCTTAAAATTAAAGACAAGCCCAGCAACTACAGGCCAGTCCATTTAACTCCAGTGGTGAGGCAGCTTGGAAATTATAATGCAACCACTTTGGCAAATATGGGATTAATTACATAAGAACTAGGAGCAGGAGTAGGCCATCTGGCCCCTCGAGCCTGCCCTGCCATTTAATAAGATCATGGCTGATCTTTGAGACTCAGCTCCACTTACCTGCCCACTCACCATAACCCTTAATTCCTTTACTGTTCAAAAATTTATCTAACCTTGCCTTAAAAACATTCAGCGAGGTAGCTTCAACCGCTTCACTGGGCAGGGAATTCCACAGATTCACAACCCTTTGGGTGAAGAAGTTCCTCCTGACCTTAGTCCTACATCTGCTTCCCTTTATTTTGAGGCTATGCCCTCTAGTCCTAGTTTCACCTGCTAGTGGAAACAACTGCCTCCACCTTATCTATTCCCTTCATAATCTTCTGTTTCTATAAGATCTCCCCTCATTCTTCTGAATTCCAATGGGTATAATCCCAGTCTACTCAGTCTCTCATAATCCAACCCTCTCCACTCTGGAATCAACCGAGTGAATCTCCTCTGCACCCCCTCCAGTGCCAGTATGTCTCCTTACTTAAGAGATCAAAACTGTGCACAGTACTCCAGGTGTGGCCTCACCAGGATCCTATACAGCTGCAGCACAGCCTCCCTGTTTTTAAACTCCATCCCTCTAGCAATGACAGACAAAATTCCATTTGCCTCTTTAATTACCTGCTGCACCTGCAATCCTACTTTTAGTGATTCATGCACAAGGACACCCAAGTCCCTCTGCACAGCAGCGTGCTGCAATTTTTTTACCATTTAAAACATAGTCCATTTTGCTGTTATTCCTACCAAAATGGATGACCTCACACTTACCAACATTGCATTCCATCTGCCAGACCTTTGCCCACTCACTTAGACTATCTATATCCCTCTGCAGACAGTCTTCTGCACACTTTGCTCTACGACTCACCTTAGTGTCATCTGCAAATTTTGACATACCACACTTAATCCCCAACTCCAAATCATCTATGTAAATTGTAAACAATTGTGGTCCCAACACTGATCCCTGAGGCACACTACTAGCCACTGACCGCCAACCAGAAAAACACCCATTTACCCCTACTCTTTGCTTTCTACTGGTCAACCAATCCTCTATCCATGCCAATACATTATCTGTAATACCATGCAACTTTATCTTGTGTAGCAGCCTTTGGTGTGGCACCTTGTCAAATGCCTTCTGGAAATCCAGATACACCACATCCACAGGTTCCCCATTGTCCACCATGCAAGTAATGTTCTC